ACCCCCCTCTGCTCTTTTCTCCCATCAGTATTCTTGTCCATCTGAGCCGCGCGGGGGCCGAGGTGAAGATGTTTGCTCCGGATATCCCTCAGATGCACGTCATCGATCACAGCAAGGGAGAGCCGAGCCAGGAGAGCAGGTGGGTCCCCGTCCTTGTCCTGGGGTGACCTCCTGACCCCGGGGTGACCTCCTGATCCCGGGGTGACCTCCTCATGACGGGTGTGTTGGGTCTCGTGCAGGAACGTGTTGGTGGAGTCGGCCCGCCTGGCTCGCGGTGACATCGCGGCATTGTCTAAGCTGAGCGCTGAGGATCACGACGCCGTCATATTCCCCGGAGGCTTCGGAGCAGCCAAGAACCTGTGAGTGTCACGTGACTTCCTGGACCAATGGAAGCTCTGGGTGGTCCCTGGGATGGCTCTGAACATGGCGGCCATCATCCAGGACAGATCCATGTGTACATTGTAATACATCAGCCAATCACAGCCTGACCCCGCCTCTCCTCCTCTTAGCTCCTCCTTTGCGGTGGACGGGGAGTCGTGCAGCGTGCACAGCGAGGTGGAGCGCGTTCTCCAGGACTTCAGGAAAGCAGAGAAGCCAATCGGGTGAGAGCACTGAAGTGGGTGGCGTCTACTGGTCCCTTTCTCCGCCCCTTTACACTCATTGGATGCAGGATTTTAGCTCAGCCCCTCACCCTGCAGTCAGGAAACCCCGTTGGTTGTCAGTCGGGGGCCCCGAGCCACATGTGGATCCCATACATTGACCTTTACCTGTCCCGGAGGTGGAGTCCCTCCTTAGTAAGCTCATGGAGAGAAGCCAATCGGGTGAGAGCACTGAAGTGGGTGGCGTCTACTGGTCCCTTTCTCCGCCCCTTTACACTCATTGGATGCAGGATTTTAGCTCAGCCCCTCACCCTGCAGTCAGGAAACCCCGTTGGTTGTCAGTCGGGGGCCCCGAGCCACATGTGGATCCCATACATTGACCTTTACCTGTCCCGGAGGTGGAGTCCCTCCTTAGTAAGCTCATGTGTGACGATGGCGGGGGTCATGTGACGATTGCTGTGTGACGATGGCGGGGGTCATGTGACGATTGCTGTGTGACAATGGCGGTGGTCATGTGACGATGGCGGTGGTCATGTGGCGGTTGCTGTGTGACGATGGCGGTGGTCATGTGACGTTGGCAGTTGCTGTGTGATGATGGCGGGGGTCGTGTGACGATGGCGGTGGTCATGTGACGTTGGCAGTTGCTGTGTGATGATGGCGGGGGTCGTGTGACGATGGCGGTTGCTGTGTGATGATGGCGGTGGTCGTGTGACGATGGTGGTTGCTGTGTGACGATGGTGGTTGCTGTGTGACGATGGCGGTTGCTGTGTGACGATGGCGGTTGCCGTGTGACGATGTTCTTTTCTCCCATCAGTATTCTTGTCCATCTGAGCCGCGCGGGGGCCGAGGTGAAGATGTTTGCTCCGGATATCCCTCAGATGCACGTCATCGATCACAGCAAGGGAGAGCCGAGCCAGGAGAGCAGGTGGGTCCCCGTCCTTGTCCTGGGGTGACCTCCTGACCCCGGGGTGACCTCCTGATCCCGGGGTGACCTCCTCATGACGGGTGTGTTGGGTCTCGTGCAGGAACGTGTTGGTGGAGTCGGCCCGCCTGGCTCGCGGTGACATCGCGGCATTGTCTAAGCTGAGCGCTGAGGATCACGACGCCGTCATATTCCCCGGAGGCTTCGGAGCAGCCAAGAACCTGTGAGTGTCACGTGACTTCCTGGACCAATGGAAGCTCTGGGTGGTCCCTGGGATGGCTCTGAACATGGCGGCCATCATCCAGGACAGATCCATGTGTACATTGTAATACATCAGCCAATCACAGCCTGACCCCGCCTCTCCTCCTCTTAGCTCCTCCTTTGCGGTGGACGGGGAGTCGTGCAGCGTGCACAGCGAGGTGGAGCGCGTTCTCCAGGACTTCAGGAAAGCAGAGAAGCCAATCGGGTGAGAGCACTGAAGTGGGTGGCGTCTACTGGTCCCTTTCTCCGCCCCTTTACTATGTGTACATTGTAATACATCAGCCAATCACAGCCTGACCCCGCCTCTCCTCCTCTTAGCTCCTCCTTTGCGGTGGACGGGGAGTCGTGCAGCGTGCACAGCGAGGTGGAGCGCGTTCTCCAGGACTTCAGGAAAGCAGAGAAGCCAATCGGGTGAGAGCACTGAAGTGGGTGGCGTCTACTGGTCCCTTTCTCCGCCCCTTTACACTCATTGGATGCAGGATTTTAGCTCAGCCCCTCACCCTGCAGTCAGGAAACCCCGTTGGTTGTCAGTCGGGGGCCCCGAGCCACATGTGGATCCCATACATTGACCTTTACCTGTCCCGGAGGTGGAGTCCCTCCTTAGTAAGCTCATGTGTGACGATGGCGGGGGTCATGTGACGATTGCTGTGTGACGATGGCGGTCGATGGCGGTGGTTATGCGACAATGTCGGTGGTCATGTGACGATGGCGGTGGTCATGTGGCGGTTGCTGTGTGACGATGGCGGTGGTCATGTGACGTTGGCAGTTGCTGTGTGATGATGGCGGGGGTCGTGTGACGATGGCGGTTGCTGTGTGATGATGGCGGTGGTCGTGTGACGATGGTGGTTGCTGTGTGACGATGGTGGTTGCTGTGTGACGATGGCGGTTGCTGTGTGACGCTGGCGGGTGCCGGGTGAC